ATTAAAGTAATTCTGGAAAACTATGTATATATATATATCTTGAAAAAAAAAAACGACTCCTCTGAGACTCTCAGAGAGGAAGGGGTTTTCCATGGGAAAAAGCTGGGGTTTCCATAGGTCCCATGGGAAAAAGCAGGGGCTCTTGTTCTTGCGATCGGTGCAAGAGATGCAAGGGAATGAGCCATGGGATGAACCGTTTTGGGATTCCCGAATAAAGGAAACCAGAGGATGGACGATTTATAGGGGTCATTCCATTTCTCATTCCCTGAGCACCGGCCAGTTTTTGAGTTGGTTGAGTTTGGAGGGGAATCCTTCCCCCCAAAAAAAACGGAACTGGAACCCCACCGGTGGGCCCTGGCTCCTCGGTCTCGTCCACCTCGTAGACCCGGCCCTCAGCACGTTCGGCACGTCCGCTCGACTCTCGCAGAGCGAGCTGCGAGGTTTTGGACCAGAAGGAGCGACGGGGTGGTGAACCCGAAGAAACACAAAACAAAACAAAAAAACGGCTAAACCCGAAAAAGAACAAACCACACGGTTCCCAAAAATGGCCGGGGGGGGGGGGAAAGCAAAAAACGTTAAACCTGGAGAAGACAAAACAACACGCTTCCCAAAAACGGAGGGGAGTGGAGAAAAACAACAGAAACCAAGAGGGAGTGGGGGAGGAGGTACAGACAGGTGGAAACCAGAAGGGTCCAGGGTCTCCTTCAAAAAGGGAGTCTTACAAACAGAAAGCGAGGTTGGGTATGGGCTGGGTGAAAACAACAAGAAAAACATAGAAGTTGAAAAGAGGGATCCGGATATGAGGGTAGAAGGATGTAGAAGGTGGCCACATTTTGAGAAAACTAGGGAGGGCCTAGAGGCGAGGGTAGCTAGAATCTGAAGGCAAACAGAAAACTCAGTTGCCCAAAGGACCCAGAAATAAAAGGTTGGCCTCTTGGGGCCATGACTAAACATGGACCAAAAGAAGAAAACCAATAGGGCGAAAGCAGGGAAGGCAGGAGAATTCAGAAAACCAATGATGGTTGGGCCTGTAAAAATACGTGCAAGGTAAAAGCAACAAATCGGCAAGGTGCGAAACAAAGAGTGCTTGGTCGTGCTTGGATTTGCACTCAAAGCGCGGAAGGGCCCTTGTGTGAGGCCCTTCATCTGGCTTAACAGAATTGCACAGCTATAGCAACTGCGAGTTGCCAAAAGTCTGAAAAGGAGCGTTCGCTAATCTCAAACATGCATTCATCACAAAGGAGGCCGGTTTCACAATAGCTCAAGCCCCAAAGCTCAAACATTGATGCTGGTTGACGACCTTGCATACTTGGTGGAGATCAACCAGCTGTATACGTGACTCGGACCTTGTCTCCCAGCTTGCGCTTGCAGCGGACCTTGTCGCGGCTTGTCTGTCTCCACTTGTGTCCTGTGCTGCTGACTCGGACCACGGCTTGATTCCCCGCTGGTCCTCCTGCTTGTCTCCCCACTTTCTCCACACTTGTCTCCCAGCTTCTTGGCGAAGAGAGCTTGCTGGATGTTTAAATGCAGCTGGATGAGAGTTGCAAAGCTTTGGACAAGTTGAAATGAGTCGATGTACTTTGACCCCCTTACGCCCCTCAAACACATCCTCTAAGGTAGGACCTCCTGGGATGTACTCAATTGAGTGACAATCAAAACCTGGTATTAAACTGGTCGGCCCAGAAACATGTTTCAATAATTCAGAAGGCGGCCGCAACATTTTTCTGAAGTTGGGACCGTCCCTGACTAAGCTTCATCTCCGCAAATTTTGATCGTGGCTCAATTGGTACCCTTCCTCCCACGTTGTCATTGCACTTAAGAGGCACCTTTCCTGTTAGAGGGACCGTGTCTCTGTCAGGTGTTGGTAGAGAGGGTGTTCTTTTTGAGGTTTTCAAGCGAAACCAAAAGGAAGACCAAAATCCATGTGTCTCACCTATTTGGACACATTTTCACCCTTCCCGCCCGAATTGGTTGTGCCTCACTTTCTTCGGGGCCGATGCCGGTTTCAGCCTCTCAGCCACGGCACGTGCTTCATCGCTGAGCCCCGGGTCACATTGGTCATCATGGGAGGTGGTCCGTCCGGCTCCAGTGGCGCCCAACTCTCATCCTCCTGCGTGGGTCTCACTACCCATCAGCTTTGCCGTCCTTTTTCAGGAGAAAACATACCCCCTACTCCAGATACCCACTTCTTCTATGGTATTTTTGAAAACTCTGGGTTTCCATGGTAAATACCTCCTTGTTTAATAGAGGGTCGACATGATACCCTACAAAAAAACGGGTATTGGGTGTAAGAGGTATTCCATTTGCTCTAGCCCCAGAAATAATATCAAGTATGTCCGGTGATAGATTCCCTTTAAAACCAACAAAGGAGAATGTAACGTGTTCTCAAGCAAATGAAAGGAAATTGAATTGCGGGGACTTCCCCAGCCAAAACGGCCGACATTTTGTCTGGGCTCCAATCAAGCGATCGGATGGGACAAAATTTGGCCCGGAAAGGAGACCTAGGGAAAATGACCACCTATGTTCTAAGTCTTGGGAAATGATCATGATTTTGCTTGGGTGCTGTAGATCCCCCAGCAAAAAGTTCAACTCTTTGCTCCCGCATCTTCATGTTCGGTAACATGGCCGGACTGTGTCGGACCAAGAACCGGAGGTCAGATAGAACGAGGTACCCAAGCGCTTATCGCATTGTAGGTACGGACCCGTGACACTACGCGTAGTGTCGAGGCAACTGCGTCCGGAGACGCATGGAGGAACGAATTAAGCCGTCGCGGCGGAGGAGTGCATCAGGGGGCACAAATGAAGGGGGGATCTTGGCCATGTGGAGAGCGGTGGACATAGAGATGCTGCCATTGGCACAAGTAAAATAATCGGTCAGGAGGGATTGAACCGCTAACTTTTTGCTGGTTAAAAGCACATATGGGGGAATCCAAAAAGCTCAAGTCTTAAGATCCCACCCAACAGCATTCGAGTTTTGAGTCTTGGAGCACTCCTGCGCCGTCTGCCTCTGGTTTTTTTCCTGCTTTTGGTTTACTCTGAGGCTATCAAGTTGCAGGTTGTTACTTGCCTCTCGCGGTAGAGGCATGCGCTGTATACTTCGTTCCGGCAAACATTTTTGCTGTAAAGGGATAGCTGTGGTTGGAATGCTATCTTCTGTGCTACAGCAAAAAGGGCCTAACCCCAAAGACGATTTTGTTAAGAGAAAGGGGGATGAAAGGGGGATTCCCGAAGGTATCACAGAAGTGGGGAGAAACCCCTTGATCCCACAACCCTGCTATAAAGGGATCACTAGTGTACACTGCCTCTTTACTTGGGTGTGGCTCAAAAGTTAACAGGAAGGGCAAACCGCAGGGTTTGGTTCATGTTTCCACTTAGCAGGGCAACCCATTTTGGAATTCCGGTTTTTTGACCCACAGCCATTTGCTTTTTGCGGATTGTCCCTGAAGAGCTTCTTGGTTGATGGCATTTCAGGGTTATACAATAGGGTATTCGACACATGTTGAAAATACAACCCCCGAAATCAACTGGCAGGTTGATTTACCCCGGCCAAAATGATAAGTCGGAACCAACTTTTCCTCACAGCTCAAAGCTGCATCTGACTGAGAACCATGCTTTTTGTTGCAGGCAAACGGACTAGGAGATTCAGCCGCTTGGGAGGTCTAAATGGTGGCTCTCTTTTTAGGGGACCCCCCCAGTGGTTTTCCTGGCGGTGCCGCTTCAAAACCACCAAACAGGGGGTACCCTCAAAGAGAGACAGACCGCAATAACTAATATGAAGTTCCCTAGCGCTCAGGAAGTTGACGTTCTAAGATGAAGAGAAAGAGGAGCAAACAAAGCAAGATGAACTTCCACTTGCTTAATTCCAATTATGGTCAGTAGTGATAGTTGTTTGTTGAAACCAACGGGGGAACATACCAATTCAGCTTAAGCAAATTGAAGCAAAGCGACTCAAAAGAAAGAGAGGCAGACAAGGGGAAAGACGCTTGCTCCAAGCTATATAGCTTTCATATCTTTGAAACTTGCGCCATACTGGTATGTTGTTGGGGTTATTCAATTTTGGCAACTGCTTGATCAAACGTATCTTGTTGAAAGTATGTTGGACACTCCTACTCCCTGCATGCCCGGGAAACAAACCAATAATTTAAACAGGAAACTCTGTAACTTGATTTCCCCGGACATTTACAGAATAAGCGGTGAATCACACATCTTCCCCTGCTCCACAGCCTTCGTGCGCAGGAGAACATGGGCATGCACCCAACTTTTCCCCACACGGACCGCGAATTTGCAGGGAAGTACCTTTTGGGGGCTAGCAACAAGTCCCCCCCCCCAGATTTTAAAAGGCCGGGACAAACACACGAGAAACACAAATTGACAGTTTTGGCGTTCACCTACTGTTTAGGACATACCAAGACCTACGCGCAGCCAGGTCGCCCTGTTTTGGTGTGCGTCCTCACCCCCAATGTTGTGGTGTTCGTCTTGTTTCCCTTCAACCAAACTGGGAAGGATAGCCTTGAAAAGAACACCATACTTGGGAAACCTATTGCCCTATACTTGGAGACTCAACTGCCGCAAGAAATGGCACAAATCGACATGCGCACTGGTAAAGACTTGCTTAGGATCGATTAATGGATGCTAAATTGTTTGATAGTAGAGTGCGGGCTCAATTATGTGATGGAAGCTATCATATTGATTGGTCGCCCACAGTCCAGCACAGTGCGGCGATGCGCAAAAATCCATGTTGTCATTTTCCACCCTCTTAAAAAAAAAAAACATGGAAGCGGACAAGGGCGTGTTGCAGAGGATTGTCTTTCCAACTGACGCTCCTGTCCACTTCCATGACTGCTGGAAAATTAATTTGAAAACTCTGGAGAAATAACTATTTGCATTTATCATCTTTAAATCAACATGTTTCAAACTCCAATGTTTAAAACTCCGGAAGCCCCCCATTCTCGTGTTTATTCAAACAACACTTTGCAAACTCCGGAACCCCCAAAGCGACGTAAACTTCCGGTCGCCTCCGGCAGCTCGCTGTGCACCATCTCCGCCACACAGCCCGGCACCTCCAAGGTGGCAGTGCAGCTACGCTTGGTGGGCGAGGTGCAGGTAGGCGGCACCGGCACGTCGCCGTCCTCAAAAAAGCGACCAGTAAACGTAGACGCCCGCAAATGACCTGTATATGTGTATATATATATATATCATATTATCCACAAGAAACTGCGATGGTCAAAGTTGTTACAGTCTTCCCAACAAATACTGTATCGACAAGGACAATTTTGCTGGTGGGTGAAAGTAGATGGCACAAGTCCCTGTAGATGAATGACATAAACCAAACTGGAGGGGTTGAGAAGTACTTTCACCCAACCGTAAAATCATTGGAATGTGGGTGTGAGGTGCTGTGAAGCCATCTGCCAACGAAGGCCAGCCATCTACTTGCAACCAAAGCACTTTGCCCCAGCGAAGGACAACCTTCATGTCCTTTTTCGTCGCCTTCAATTTCTAATCCGATGTTAACATTGACCCAACACCACGGGCAGTTCTTTATTTGTTTTGTGTTGTGTTCTTTTTCTTTTTTCCCGGCCGGTCACACTTGTCTGCTTGTGGCAGGGGGCTGTCCCTTGCTGGGTTGCTGACCTGTTGAGTGGACTGGCCAGAAAAGAACGTCAAACTGTTTGACTCGTGGACCCTCAAAGGGGGGCGAACTGGGGAGGGGGGCGTAACTCCTTATTAACCGCCTCAATAAAATCTCATTAAGCTTTTGCTATGCTTATGCTGGGCTTCTCCAGGGATAGCACACCCCCCCGAACTAGCCCCTCTTAGGGGTCCATGATTGTCCCTTGACTAAACTGATAACGACACCTGCGAATAAGCAATTCAACGCTTGTCGGCAGGGTGATGAAGACCAAATGCAAGGCATGTTTCAAGTCACACCAACATATGGTATCAAAGACGTCTACCGCGTCTAGAACATCTCAATAATCAAAAGGGCGGCCGCATTTGTGGTTCGAACTGTCACCCGCAAGTCCATCTACAGTTTTGTGCATAAGCAAGCAAACAATCAAACAGCTGGACCTCTAGCTGCGCTTCATGAAAAGGAACCACACTGAAAACTGAAGCTTTCGACACACATGTTGGACCAGCCATTTTTTGAGCTCCCACATCCGCCGCAATTCCCGAGCTCCCCTTTTGAAGAGGACCCTGAAAAAGGGGGACCACACAGTCGGTCAAGGCGCTCTGAAAGCACCTCTGTCCAAGCTGATCCAAATGGAAACCCAACCACTAAACCCGCCAAAACCCGGGTTGAACATTGACTAGGGAAAGGGTCCTACCAATGGGATCGTGGCAATGCAGGGGGTCATCTCCTTTTCCTCAAATACAAATCCCTCTCTACGGAACCGGATGGCTGGGCTTGCCACCAAGTAGGTGAATGGTCCATTCACAACCTGACATGCTCTCGATCACATGGAAGATGGGCGCTCCTTAGGCCCTCAAACATCGTACCAAAAAAACATCTCGCGCGGGTGTGTGTCTGTATTCTAAGATTTGGACACTCCAAACATGTTTAGTTCTCTTGCTTCCCCTTGCAAACCAAAACACGGGTTCCCTGAAAACAAAGGAACCACACCCTTCCTGTGGCAAGCAATATTTTTCCAAGCTGAGGAAAACAGAGGAACAGAAGGTCACCCAACTACCCAAAGGCCACCATTGGGTCTGATTGTTGAGGCTAATCCCTTCTTTTGTGGTCTTAAAGGGAAACCAACAGGAACAACAATCATCGCATAAGGCTCCCCTAAGCCAAAGACACCCGCACAGGGGGGGGGGGGAAAAACAAAAAACAACAAAAACACTAAAAAAACGGGCGAGTCCAAATCCCAAACAAAAATAGACACCGTATCTTTTTTCAAAGGCGCCTCCAGCGCCCAGGTAGGCGGCGTGGGCGAGATGGACACCTCCCCCTTGAGCTCCTTCCGGGGTGAGGTTTCCTCTTTGGGACAGCCCAATGGAAATCCCAAGGCTCACTGCTCCGTTGCGCTCTGCTCCCCTGCTAAAAGCTGAAAAAAATGGTGGTTTAATGGAACTCATATGCTCCGTTGCTGTCTGCTCCCCTGCTAAAAGCTTTTAACTTTTGGTGGCTTAATGGCAAAAACCTCATAAAGTCCTAACATCCAAGCAGAATGCAACAAAGACTGGATTTCCCATGAAGGTTGCAATCTACTGGTGCTGTCCACGTAAAGTGCCACTTTTGGAGGTGCCGAAGAGGGAAGTGGAGGAAAACTGCAAGACTTCCTTGCTGTGACAAACAGAAATCTCCGTCCCCATGACTACTTCATGACTTCAAGGGAGTGTCTCGGTACAAGCACTATCAGTTTCGTAGGGGGGCTATGGCGGGCTGTCGGATAAGACCAGGCTAAGCCCAGATAAGCTCTAAATCTGGCCTTGGGTTGCCCCCCACCCACCCCACCCACCCCACCCACCCCACCCACCCCACCCCCCCACCCACCCTGCCCACCCTGCCCACCCACCCACCCCACCCACCCCACCCCAACCCCCCACCCCCCACCCCCACCCCCACCCCCCCACCCCCACCCCCACCCCCACCCCCACCCCCACCCCCACCCCCACCCCCACCCCCACCCCCACCCCCACCCCCAACCCCACCCGACCCCCACCCGACCCCACCCGACCCCACCCGACCCGACCCGACCCGACCAACCCCAACACCCCACCCGACCCCACCCTCCAGCTAGCACTTCGCTCCTTCCGCAGCGCAGAGTTCTCTAGGCGCAAGCGCTCGTACTCCGCCGTCAGCGCCGACAGCAGGCGATGGAAGTCCGAGCTCGGACTGGTCGGACGCCCGTTCGTCGGACTGCCTACCATGGCGAACGATCTGGAAGATGCAAATCGCTGGCAGGTAGTTCCTAGGGCCTTTAATGGAGGCCGCACGCTAACAGCGCCCGAGGTGCCGGTTACAACAAAGTGCTTTGACCTGAGGGTGCCCAGATTGTGTGTGTGTGTGTGTGGATGGAATAGCTTTGCTTCCTTGAAGGACAAATTTGTGCTAAGTCTTGGTTGGCCAACTTGTGATTATGCATCTACGTCTGAAAATACAAATATACACGTGAATATACATCATTTTGTAAGAAAACAAACATGGTACTGGGTCTGGTTTGGCGATACATGTCGCGAAGTCTGTTTTCCATCTGCATGTTCGGCCGAGCCCTGATTCGCTCTGTTCATGGGACATTGGACATGTAGCCGTTCGGCAGGGCCTTCCAATGCCCAACTCGTTGCCTTGAGAAATGACAACTGCGGCCGTCCGTTGTCTGATCCCCCGCTAAAGCTTGAGCTTGTGGCTTAAATGGAACCCAACCACTAACCCCTAAAAGCCAAAAACTTAAAGGGGATAGCCGCGAACCGCCAAGAAAACAGCATCCTCCCGTCACCTTCAGACGTGCTGAAACTGAAAGGTATCTTCCCAAGCATTGAGGGTCATAAGCCTTTCTGTGAGAACATGAGTCATTCCACTCCCCATCACTACATAAGTCACATTCAAGAAAGTTCCTTACGACCTGAACCTCACAGTTCCAAAGACTTTGCAAGTTCTCATTCCCTCAAATTCACCGGGATGCTCCGCAAAGGCGCACAAACCCGACATGAAACCAAAATGTTTGACAACCCAAGGAGATCCAAGGATAACTTGGACGTTCAACCCAACTCACAAGTTAACAACATTGTGACATGGTGCAGTCGAGCCGGCGTGTCCCTTTTCTGACTCTCGCTATGCTTCTCTCATCACCTGCACGCGCGAAATTGAAAGAAGTGGAAAAAACCCAAGCACATTCCCAGGTCAGACTTGCCCAAGGCAAAAATTCGGGATGCTACGTCCAGGGCTGGGGTGGCGTATCTTCAGCTGCTCCACCCACATGCCAGTTTGTCAAGGTTCGTACCTGCCAAACAAACAACTCTTTGCACAAGTTGGTGAGACGGGTCAGCGTCCAAAACTTCGAAAGCTTAGAGACCAAATTAAAACTGCGGTTTTGGGCGAACACGAAGTAGCCCAGGGAAGCAAATGAGCACAAGGTAGATCACAATGTACCCAAAGCACCCGGAAACACAACTCGGGTGAAGCTGTGGATGATGACCGGGTTGAGGATGTGACGGTGGAAAAGACGGTGTTTGGGGAGGTTGGGAAATAGGTTGCAAAAGTAGAGAAGTCAACCAAGCCCAGGATGACCTCGACGACCGACCACCTACCTCCTAACACCGGCGCCCCGCAGCCCCACGGTTTTCACCTCGGGGACGAAGAGTGCCGCCGTGTTATGGCGGGTGCACGTGGGCCCGAGATTGCCCTGACGGGAGGTTGAAATCTTGAGCCACACGGCCATTCGGCCGATTCGCTTATGATAGAACAACACGTGAACGAAACACACCCCCCTCATCCGATTTCTGGACGAGAGAAAGGATGCAAGACAGTTGAGTTCACGACGAAAGGAACCAACCAAAAATGCCAGTGTCAACTCAGAGGTGAGCCAAACGGCAGCACCTGGGCCCCAGTTAAAATCCCGCCACCACCCCGAATTAGCGGGGCAACAGGATTATTTGACGAATGGGCCACGTGAGTGAACAAGGACATATTGGAGGAGCCAGACGAAGATTCCTCTCGTGCCGTTCATGTATTGTCATGGGACAGCAACATGCGGAGGGGGACCCTATCTGGATCACCGCGCCTCACTGCATGTCGTAATGTGGTTGGAGGAGGTACCGAGTTGGGAGGAAAAGGATAGAGACGTTCCGAAATTGGTGAGAAAAATATCCGGCTACGGCCGGCCCGGCACTTCTGAACCGTCTCCAGCGCGCACGGCAGCAGTGCGGGAGGAGCACGAACAACGCCGGATCAGCGGTACAGGGCAATGGAGACCATCACCCCCAGCAGTGCCGCATGGGCGAGAGGAGGATCGGTGCGGTCGCGTTTTTCGGCGACACATGCGCCATCCTCGCCCTTCTAAGGCGGATGCTGATTGCAGTACCTGCCTACCACCCTGAACCGGGTTCTTCCCGGTCTCTGGGTGCGTCATCTCTCCGGCGTCCACCGCGGTCACCTCGATCGCCTCCTCCGTCCCGACGGCGATCCTCACCACCATCTCTACTGTGGTCGCCAGCCGGGGGTCGGCGAGGCGGAGGGGGATCTGACTGGTGACGTCGGTCATCCCTGCGCCGGTCCCTGTGGCGATCGCGACGGTCATCGGCGGGGCCGTCACGTCCGCGGCGCTCATCTCGCCCCGGACCGCGCCTCTCGGAGGTCTCCTCATGGCGTGGAGGAGGTCGGCGATCATCGCGTCGGCCTCCGCGGGTATCCCTGCCACGATCATCCCTTTGTCGGGGCGGGCCAGGATCCTCGCGTCCACCTTTACCAGGTCGGTGTCTCCCTCGACCCTTCGCCTCACCCTTAGGGCCGCGACGATCCTCGCGGGCCCCAAGTGCGGTCCTTGATCGATCGTCATCTCGGTGGGGTCGCGACTCATTGGCCGCACGAGTGGTCCGAGGCACGCCCGGAGGAAGCTCCCATTCTTCGTCGTCGTCATCGCGCGGGTCATAGCCGCCACGGCCGCCCAAGGAACCAGTGGCATCCCGTGGTGGGGACGCAGGAGTTCCGGGACCGCCAGACCGAAGACGAACCCGGGGAGTCGCGTCCTCGCCGGTAAAAGGATCCTTCTGGGTGTAGAACCCCTTTGTCCTGCCCCTTCTCTCCCCTCCTTCCGCACCGCTTCTCGCGGGGACCGGGGACGGACGGGCAGGCTGGGCCATGCTCTTGGAGCTGGGTTGCCCGCCAGGCGGGACGTGAACGCCCCCCTGCCCTTTCTCGGGCGCAGGGACCCGACCACGAGATGTCCTCCTGGCCTTGGGTTGGTCGGTGTCAGCCTCCAGCTCGGACTCGGTGTCAGGGACACGAGTATTGACGGCCATGTCCTCTTCCTCAAACGGATCCCCAGCCGTTGTAACGCCCGCAGCAATAGGAACGGGGGGAGGAGGAGGAGGAAGTGGCACAGCTCCGCCAGAACCGACGCCTGTGTGGGATACCACGGGAGTCTCCGGTTCTACCGGGACAGGCGGCGCGGGAGGAGCCGGGGGCGGTGGCGGAGGGGGAGGGATCTCCTCCTCATCGTCGCCCATGGGCTCGTCAAGGTCATCAGGCTTCTCATCGTCTTCGTGCGAAGATCCATCCGATCCCAGCTCATCCTCCGCTGATCCAGCAAAGTCGGGCTCTTCTTCGTCTTTCACGCCGGGGCCTGGTGTAAGGCGGATTCCGGGTCGATGGCGATCGCGGGGTCGGAAGCGGTATTTCCTGGGTGCAGGATCGGCCAGCTCCTGTTTGATGTCGTCCTGGGTTTGCGGACGGTCGGCCAAGCACGTGTCGTAGGCAACGGTGGACGTCCGGTAGATCAGCTCATCCATACTGCTGAGGTCGTTGAGCGTGTAGGCGTAGCCCTTCTTCACGCCTTCCCGTACCGTGTCCATAGCCTGCTTGAGACGCGCGGCGGGATCGAAGCCGGCCCTTCTCCGCATGGCTTGCATTACTCCACAGTGTTGTGCGAGCAGTTCCACCTGGGCCTTGAACGTCTCCCCGGACACATCGTTCGGGAGTATCGGAGAAAGATGCCCGGTTCTCAGCCCAATGATATGAGCTTCGACCATGTAGTAAGACGTGTAAAAGCCGCAGCGGTTGGCGTTGAAGTTTGCGGTGGTTAGGCGTCTGCCCCACTCAGCCGCATACCCTTCATATTCTTCGAAGAAGTCGGGGACGGTGCTCCCGTTGAAAGCAAGACCCCTTACCAAGATCGCCTTTGCGACCCACTCTTCCACATTGTGGTCAACAGTGTCACGGTATTTGCCGTCAAGAACCTCCCAAAGCATCCGAGATTGAAAAAAAACAATCGCGGCGTCAAAATTCAATCGCTCTTGAAATTTGCTCAAAAACAAGGCAAAAAACGCAAAAATCAATCGCGGCCAAATTTTTGTGTTTTCGCCAAATTCAATCGCGGGAGGGGCGCCTTAGTTTTGAAAAATCAATCGCGCCAGAAATATGCTGCACACCAAATTCAATCGCGGGTTTTTGTAAATTCAATCGCGGTTTTTTTCAATTTCAATCGCGAAAATATATCCGATGCTTGCGGCAGATACCTGGATCCTTTTATTGCTTATTACAAAGTATATGTATACGCCGATATTTGCGCGCGCTCTTTTTGGCTCAAATCTACTCGCCGAGCTCGTCGCTGACCATACGAGAGCGCACAGGTATCTGACCTGAGAGCATGAGGTGCTGAGCAACCCGGTATTTCTCTAGCACTTTGACGCCAAGCAGTCGGCCAGGGTGCCCCGCGAGCAGGATCCGGCTAGCTGACACACAAGAGACATGAACGTCTCCCCAGGGTACGTCCACACATACCTGGGGCTCAAGTGTTTGGACTGCTCATCCAAGTGCCGAAGCATGTGGAACTTAAAGACGATGTGCCAGCCATCATCACGACACGCAGCTCTCAGACATCGGTACTGGTCTAGGAACTCCGAAAGCGCATTGACAAAGTCTTCATGCTTGTTCGCTGGCATCACCAGATCTCGGCAGCTTGCAGCCTCGTAGAGGCTTGCGAGCAGCGATGTCACGCGCGCGCGCCTCTTGCGGTGGGTGGACCCACAGCCATACGTGGCTGCCAGGGCCGCGACTGCAGGCGCCAGGCGCCTCACGACTGATCCCTTGATGTGTCGCAGAATCGGGTACCCGCCAGCGCCGGGCGAGAAGTGCTCGTGTCGTAGTAGGGGCGGCGGCTGCACCGCGAGAGCTGCGCAATGCGCCCGCAGTTCGCGATTGAGTCGCTGGATGCTGCCGATCTTGGTTTCCGGCCAATCCCGCGTGAGCTCATAGAA